AGCTGCCTCCTTTCATCCAGTCCCTGATCACCTGTCCTCCTGCTCCTCAGTCCTTTTTGAGCTGGGAAGAAGACCAGAAGACCAGCTTCCACAACCATTTTTTCTTTTGAAATGAGTTCCAGCCATGAATGTCCAAGTCTATGTTTTCATAATATAAGAATTAGAGTGGGGACCATTATTCTTCTAAAGCCTGGTTAACCCAAAACAAATTTCCATCTTAAGACTGATTTTGAACTGCAGATGACATGGATCCAAATTAAATTGTGCACCTTCTTGCTTCTTCCCCATCCTACTTTTAATAATAACATCTTGATAGAGAAGTGGGAGAAGAGCTCTAAAGTTTATGCACCTTTTTAAAATGCTCTCTTGGCATTTAATAAAGACACTGTACAACTATGGATTTTTTCATTAGACCAAGACAATTTTGATTACTTCTGATGCATTAAGATGGTTCTTCACGTACTCTGCCTGTTCTCTGCTTTTCATAGCGCATAATTCCTGTGCCAATTACTGGAATATGTGCAATATAGCAAGGAATTCCAACCAGGAAGATGTGCAGAACTAATTTGAACAGATAATTAAATTATGGCCTAAGGAACATCTGGTACAGTACTTATCTGAGATCATCAACTCCCTCAGCAAGAAGAACATTCTTGTTCATTTGCTGAGAAAGTTAATAACACTTCACTGTTACCAAAACACATGACTAAAACTACAAGGGCACATGATAAACTCTTTTAAGGCCTACAGTTCCCATGACTACTTAATTTCCTCTGGAAGACACCTCATTTGGGAAGATGGACCCAACCCATGCCTGTCTCTTGGTCCAGAACATTTCCCAGCCAATAAGGGCCTTATCATCTTAACAATTACTCACCCAACATTCAGCACAGGCTTGTCTGCTACATCCTACACCAAAATGTAGGTTTTCTTTTTCACTCCCATCTATCAGGAATGATGAAATTCTTAAGGACTCTCGCACTATGTCTTCACACTCTGCCTCGTTTTGCAAGATGCCCTGAACCACAAACTAGCCCAGCGTGTTTCAGCCTACCTTCCTGGCTAACCCAGCCTCTGTTACAAGCCCAGAAAACCTAGCTAAGTGAACTGGATCCACACTTAATCACGCTGTCTTTGGAACAAATCCACTGAAGCCCACGGGGCACGGCAAACCTGTCCCGTGTTTTCATCCGGTTGATCCCAAGCACGACTAAGGCAGGAGTCAACCCATGGGCTCTTTGGTGCGAACGCCTGCATTTGTCTAATAAAAATGAAGGCATCGCGGCGAAAAGCAGAAGAGAAAGGGTACCGCGCACGCACGCTTGTTTTCCAAGCACTGGCATCGGTCTCTCCCGCCCGGCTGCTTGCGTTCCTTTGAGGGAGACCTGTTGCATAATTTGCAAAACAGGCAGACAATTTTCTTGGCACGCAAGAGACGCTGCCTCCTTGCTGCAAGTATTGCTCTCTCTGCGTTCACCGCCCACCTTTTCTAGGAGAGCTCCGGGGGGTTTCCACCGGGATCTCCCCG